GGATATATTTCAATATTTTTAAAGATATCAGCTACATGTATGGAAAGGATCTAATGGTGACAATGCCATGTTTGGTCCTTCAAATTTTCAACCGGCAAGAAATCATTTATGGACAGTGATGACCTTTTTGATTAAAAAGGTGAACTTAATCAAAGCAAAAATAAACAAAACCTTGAAAAACTGTAAAGGCTAAAATGCTAAACAGCATCATAAATGAATGCAACAAACTGGCTAAAAACAAATATAAAGATCAATATGACAGGGTAGGAACAATTATAAATCAGGAATTGTGCAAATGACTTTGGTTTGACCCTACAGACAAATCGTATCTGTATAAAACATAAGCTGTTGTAGAAAACAAAATCAAGATGCTTTAGGACTTTAAAATCCAGGCTAATCACTTGGATTTGATCATCATAAACAAAGAAAGGAAGACAAATGATATCATGGTTGTTGCAGTAGGCAATTGAGTGGAACTGAAAGAAACCATAAAAATACCCAAATCTCACCTGAAAGCTACAGAAAATGTGAAGGTTATGGTAATTCTGATAATAAATGGAGCACTTGGAATAGTACCAAAACATTAGATATGGATATGATGCATGGTACCATACCTGTTCAGAAATATCTAAACTCTCAGCTGTATGCAGCTACTTTCTGAGATTGATGGCTAAAAGAGGCTTTGAGTGAATGGAGTCTGTAGATCTTATTGAGGACCATCCTGTTTTTAAACCTCATGGACTGGCACTACAGAATCACAAAAATTGTACTAAATAATAGAAATCATAGAGAAAATAATGACATAATCAAGATGTCGAAGTTCCAAACTACCTCAAACAAAAACTTAGTGTTGTATTGTTGAAGTGAACGATACATTTGGTGTTAACAGGTACATACAAAAAACACAGGACAATAAGTTACAAAACAATTAACAAGACAACTTACAAGGAATAGAGGAGGGTCAAATGCTGTATAGCCAAACAAAGTAAGATCAGTCTGAATATTAATCAGCTTAATATCAACTTGTTAATCAACTATTGAAGTCCTTAATCATAGACTGGCAGAGTGTTGACAGGGTGCTAGCTACTCTACAACACTTAGGAAGGAAGCTTCTCAGTCAACTCCAGGTTGGTCTTGTGAACTATCGGTCCTGAAGCACCTCCACATATCAAGGTCTACTATTAGTATAAGTAGTAAGATTGTGTATTTCACCAGCTTGCTAAGCCTGTCGTGTAGCTTACACCACCTGATATTACCAGTGGTCACCCACCTGAGTACTGAACAGGCTTAATGTTGCTTAATTTCAATGATCGACCAAGAATTGGTATTCAAATGTGATATGTAGGAAGGAAGCTCCCATCAATACTGGAAAGGATGATAACAGTTACTGGACTTGAAAAAACAATTTCCTGAAAAATTGTTTTAATAGAAGGATTTTATAAATTCCATCCAACAATAGTATTGACTGCTTGGTCAATGAATGTTAAATGTTTCCTTATAAGGAAACAGCTTATATTACCATTATGGGAATCTGCATGGATACTGAGAAAGGTGCTGGAGATTTGAAGAAACTTGTTGTCACTCCTTCTCCAATATAAACTATCAATATGCAAATGCATTAATTAATAAATTAATAATAAATGTAATAATATTTCTGTGAAATCTCATGGAATATGACAAAGAATAGATCTCTTAACATTGACTGCCAATTCTTGAGAAACAGTGAAAGAATTTTTCTGTTATTTTATTTCTTTTGTCAATAAAATTTTTTTTTTTTGAATACAGAATGAAATTATGAGTAACTACTACATTATCCATATTTTTATATTTTTTTCAATTTATGAATCATCCAAATTTCCAGAAGTCAAAATGTTTCTTTTTATTTTTTAGACTAGTTTTGTCTCTCTCTCTCTCTGTCTGTCTGTCTGTCTCTCTCTCTCTCTGTCTGTCTCTCTCTCTGTCTGTCTGTCTGTCTCTCTCTCTCTCTGTCTCTCTCTCTCTCTCTGTCTGTCTGTCTCTCTCTCTCTCTCTCTCTGACATTTTGGCTGATTTATTCTCTTGCTTTCATCAGTTAACGGTATCGATTGCAGTTAGAATCCTTCTGGAAATGTCAAGGGAAACCTTTTATTTGGTTCACTGGAATATATAATTTTATTCAATCCTTTCTAAGGAATTTCAGAATTTGTAAATGTTTCGCTTTTCAAGAAAAAGCGAAGCTGTATCTTCAATACTGGCTTCCTTAGATTTACTTTCCTTTATTGATTAAAGTTTCATTTTTTTTTTTTAGTTTCATCCATTTATTTATAGCCTGTAAGATAGAGGAAAACTGCAAACTTATAGATCTTTGAAATTAATGGAAATCTAATCTGAGACTAAACTGCTTCTATAAAACAATATTGCTTATTTAAAGTAATAAAAAGTAAAGGTTTATCCATTGTTCCCTGTTTAAGATTGGGGCGAATTGATCAAAAATAAGGCAAACATGGACTTTTATGCCTAAAAAAAAAATGGAGTGTCAAAAGGATGACTTTTTTCATGACACTGATTTTATTTTAACTACTTTTTGACAATATTTATTGTTTTAAAAAGCAATGATTAGAGTTGTAATAAAACCTAAACATATAATGAAAGTGAATTTATACATTTTTTCTTTGTTCTTGAGAATTTGCAACAAAAATATTAAACATTATTTGTTTATTAGATTGTTTATTTACAAGAATGATTTTATATTTGCAGCATTCTAAAAACTAATACAATTGTATTAATTGTATGCAATGCAAAATTTATCATTTACCAGTTTATAAAGAAATATGAAAACAATTTTTTATTCATAAATTTATAAACATTTACTAAATTATATGTGAACCAATTATAAGAATATCCTTATTATTTATCATTTTATAAAGGTTGAATCAATTGGCAATTAACCAATGTTTTGCCTCTATTCTAATAAACAACATAATAAATAGTGTTTATTATTTTTGTTGTCAATTCTCAAGAACAAAGAAAATATATAAATTCATTTTTATATGTTAAGGTTTTATCCCAATTCTAATCATTGCTTTTTAAAACAATAAACATTGCTGAAGAGTGAAGGTAGTTAAAATAATAGCGGTGTCATGAGAAAAACCATCTTTTTGACACTTTTTTTTTTAAGAACATAAAAGTCCATGTTTGTCAAAAAAAAAAAAATGGATATAATTAGAATTGGAAACCACAACTACAGTAGATGACAATATGGAAATAGGATCAAAAAAATAAAAAGATAAAAAACAGAATGAGTTAACTGGTTATCAATCTTGTTAGAATTCAACCATGGAAAGTGAAGTTTTTCTGCACACTGATTAAAAGAAAACATGAAGAAGAAAATACACATGTATCAATTACTCAACATGGAAAGTGCTCAGACAAACTCTATTCCTTGGTTCCACCATGCCACTCACATTGTTGCAAACCACCCTCATTCCCTCTGTATTCCATTGGTGAGGAGTAAGTTCCTCCTGAACAGCTTCTTTCTGTGAACCACTAGTCTGTGGAACTCCCAAGAAGATGTTTCCTTGATCATTACTGTTGGGGCGCACCCACCTTCTAACTAGTAATGGACTGGTCCCTCTTATATAAGTCAGCTCTGGGGAGAGAGTCAGCGTGAGCAGTCCAGATAAGCTTACCCGGTACATACCGTTGGACTATAGACTTTGGATATTGTTTCGTACTAACCAACCTTCGTTCTACTAATCACTCTATTGTTAATTGCTTTTATGAATATACCAGTATTTTCCTCTACAACTGTGTTTGTCTTGATTCATACACCGGCACGCGGGAAACTCACAACATCTCAACAATTACAATATTAACCTGTTCAAGTCTAGAGTTAAATGTTATCTTTCCCATCTATCTGCATAAACTGTGCTTCTTATTCTGTAACCCTCTATTTCAAGTGACTCCCGGGCCTTGTACAAGGTGAACCTCACTTTAAAAGAAAGAAAAAAAAAAAAAAAAGAAAGGTATCCCAGCACTTATTAGAAAGTGTCAACTAGATAATTTCCATAAGTATACTTTCACATCTGTGTCTACAATTGTAGATACATAAAAAAAATTGAGTGTGCATCATCCTTCTGCGGGGATTGTGTCCTCTGTTTTATGCAGATTGCATTTCAACTATCATTTAAAAGTCCTTGAAATTATTTTCATTAAATCAAAACAACCTTCCTTATGTAAACAGAAGGATTGATTGTTGGGAATGAATGTAATCTGTTTATAAAAATATAGCAATCCCAATATATTATTGATATGTATGTATTTTATTCTGTTTCCTTTTTAGTCGATGTGCACAATAATTTTACTTTACTCGATTGAGTTCTGACAAGTGAGGTGCAATAATCAGTGCATTCAGTTTTTTTTTTCTTTTTTCCTTTGCTGCAACTTTCCTGCTGTTAATTACGGTAGTTATTTTCTCTCTTTGTCTTTTGAATTATGTCCGTTTTTATTCCTTTAATTAAATTTTTTTTAACTCTAATAGGATCTTCAAATATTTGGTTTTGGCTATATAATGTCTGCAATTTTATGTCATAGAAAAATGATGAGAAAGGCATTGGTAAGTGCGGCTGTTGGAAAAATATGCCATTGTCACTATGCTGATTTGTGTTGATGTTTGGTCATACTACAGTCATCACTTTGCAGTGAGCTGTCTCAGTTGTCCTCAGGCCAATACCCCAAAATTGGACCATCTCAATTCCTCAGTAAAAGTCAAAAGTCATCACTTCACAATTTGGGAGATTTGCTTGTCATAATAAATTGCATAACACATGGTTTCCAGCAGGGAAATGTTGCAGACTATTTATCAGTAAGATGAGTGGGAGGACAATATGAGAACTTCCTTATTACAGCCTTTTTTTTTTTAGGCCATCTACTTTCTACCAAAACACAAAAACTCACTTGTAATGTTCTGCGCAAGAAGCTATCAATGCTTGCTAGGCGTCGATTAATGCCTTGCTAGGATTTTAGGATGGTTCTTGATTGTCCCTCCGGTGATGGTAGCCTCCTATTCCCTCTTGCTGTGTAGCTGCTGATTAAGATTCACCGGATGTCTGGAGGGGACCTAACTCTTGTGTCTCTATGGGTTATCTCCCTTCTGTTGCTGGGATATTACAATGCTTTTTTTTTTTTTTTTTTTTTGAGAGGGTTTTTTTTTTTTTGGGGGGGTCCGGCCACAGCCATTCTAAAGCCAAATCTTCGGATGAGCTACTTTCCAAGCCATCTTCGGACTTTCCAAAGCTGCGAGAATCAAGCAAATCAAAATTGGAATCATCAGAATGAAGATCTTCATCACCCTGCAATGTGAGATTCTGAGTGGAAGAAATAGTTATGGTCTGGTTTGGGGAAGAATCAAGGTCTTGGTCAGATGAAGTGTTGGACATTTTCGAACGGCTGGCATCAGTTCTAGAGGTTTTGTCATGAATTTTCTTGCGTGACTGACTAGGGTGTAGCATTTTCTGGATGGAGTTGAGGGGAGACATGACTTGTGACTCTGGCACAGACGGTTGTGGACAAGGTGCCGACTTACATTTTGTTGACATCTGTTGGACATTTGAAGAAGAGTACAATGGATTTTGAAAATCTGTTGAAGCAACTGTTGTTGGACGTTTCTTAACTTTTTGGTAAAACTTGAGAGCGTCTTCATAAACATCATTTTGAGGATGCAAATATGTTGCATTTTGTGACAATCTCTTGCTTTGTTGGAAACTGCTAGAAGCAGTTGATGAAGGAGTGGCAGGAAAATTCTGTTGACAACATTTAAGCTTCAATTCATTTATTTCATGTGACATTCTCTTCATTTCTGTGCACAGCATTTCTTGCATTTGGATGAAGTGTCTCTCCAAAGACAAATGGGATTTTCGTCGTTCGTTATCCAAAAGAGATGATAACTGGTGAATATTGGTGTGGGCGGTTATCAATTCTTGTTTATAAAGAGCGTTTTCAGCTTCAAGTTTCTGGACTGTGGAATTGATTTTGTGGAGAGTTTGTGATTGTTCATCAAGTTGCCCTTTTATTTGGTTGGGAAGCCCCAGAAATAAAGATGAACTCCTGTTTGCTGGAGTATCCATTTCAATTGGAGGTGGCAAGTTCCGAGCTCCAGCTGTGTGGAACACGTATTCTGTATCACTACCACTGCTATATGGGTTCCGTTGGTCGTTTTCAATGCGGTTGACTGAGCGTTGATTGGTCTGTGTTCGTGGGGGACGATTTGTTTCCCGTTGTCTGTTTCCGTCGTTTAATCTTCTGAAACAGGCAGAGGTGAAGTGTCCCCACCTTCCGCAGTATGTGCACTGGGTATGAAATGCCGGGCAAGACGTCGGTCCCCGCTCATGAGGGTATTTTCCGTTGCAATTCCTGCACCGGTATTGCCGCGGATAGTTGCTTGGTCGGCGCTGTTCGTCCGCGACTTTGTTTATTGGGGCGGTTGTAGCAGTAGCGGTGTTGTTGTCTTCCAGTCGCATTGTTTGTAGGTGCGACGCTATCGTCTCCGTTGTCCTTGCATAGTTTATTAAGTCATGTAGTGACATATCCGAGTTCATGAGTCCCTTCTGGCGGACTTTTTCACCTCGGAATCCATGTCGGAAAAACGGCACATAGACGCAGCTTCCTTTAGTTTGCGGTAGATTTCTTCGATGCCTGGGCTATTTTGTTTAATTTTCCGGAACACAAATCGGTTGTATTCCGTGTCGTTTTCCGGGTTGAAGTGGTTGTGCACCGCTGTGACAAGCTTGTCGAAATGTGTTTCATTTTTTTCTGGTGTGACTCGCTCCTGTGGTATCTCGTTGATGATGTCATTCGTAGCCTCGCCGACAAACGTTAGAAGGATTGCTTTTTGCCGTTTGTCATCCTCAATGTTATATGCGACAAAATAGTTTTTCAGTCTTTTTATGTATTTTGTCCATCTTGCTGCTTTGGCTGTTGACACACAGTCAAATTCGGGGTAGTGTGGAACGGCGGCCATATTGGTTATATATCGAACACGTGTTGAATTTTTTTTTTTTTTTTTTAAGTGTGTTGATGTTCTGTTTTTGTGAGGGTAACGACTCAGTCCTTGTCGCCAATGTAATGTTCTGCGCAAGAAGCTATCAATGCTTGCTAGGCGTCGATTAATGCCTTGCTAGGATTTTAGGATGGTTCTTGATTGTCCCTCCGGTGAGAGTAGCCTCCTATTCCCTCTTGCTGTGTAGCTGCTGATTAAGATTCACCGGATGTCTGGAGGGGACCTGACTCTTGTGTCTCTATGGGTTATCTCCCTTCTGTTGCTGGGATATTACATCACTAAAGAAAATTGGAGAGAGAAACTACTTTTTTATCCAGAAATATTGCTGCCTTGTTCATTTCTGCTTAGTCTATTGAACAACCAATAAAAAGACTTTGCTACATCCTGTTTTATTTTTATCTTTATTCTTTTGCAGGACTTGTAACCTGTCAATATATCATATTTCAGAAATATGATATATTTCCAACAGCCTGTGTGGTTGTTTAGTAGTTAGGCTAGGGGTGTCTAAACTTTTTTCAAAGAGAGTCAGATTTGATGAGGTGAATATGTGTCCAGGCAAATCATTCTGCATGACATTCTTTGAACCATTAAAATTAATGCAAATGAACTATCTTATAAAAATTTTATTGCAAATGGCATATTTTCATTTCTTCACATGGATTACAAATAAATTTAAACAGGTTTTACCAAAATAAATCAGACTGTCATATCTGAAGCCCATATAAGATGAAGTAAAATATGCCTTAGAAAAAAGAACGTTCAGGAAACTATATTTCCAGTTAATGTTAAACATTACATATTATTGGTAATTAATGTTGTCTGTCAACTTTTAAGTTGTTAAAAAATATATGAATAGGAACATAACAGCAACATTCATCTTATTAAGAAGTAGAAAACATAAAGTGGCACAAGTCCAAGTGTTCGTATATATTTATAACTGATTTTGACCAACACAAAACAAATTTAATTCACTAATATTTTAGAATTTATTCATCTCAGATGATCAAAACAAATAACTTGCCTGTGCTAATGAGAAGTGTGGTACTGAGATCTGGACTGCAGTATATAGGCCAGGTCTGGTTCAAAGGCAGTGATTTTAGAAATTAGCTGGTCACAGTCACACGTCCAGTGGGTGGCCACACAGTACTGCTGCCATATTTGTATTTCTTAGGTGTGTACTTTACATACACTAATTGACAATACTGGTGGGCCATGACTAAAAATATAATTTAATAATCAAAAAATCCTTTGGTCTTTCCTCTTAATGATAAAGATTTTGAAGATAAAACTTTGTTTTTATTAACTGTGGGGCATTTTTTTATCATGTAGGCTCATTTTTTAGTAACTCTTTGGAGGTACTTAATTTACACTGTAGATCTTGGTGCGAATTGATGAAACTGTCTATTTGTTTCTTTAAATATCTACTGAGATAATCCCAAACTGACCCACTTACTGTAGCATAACAATACCCACTCTGAAGATCACTAAATTGTATAAAATAAAACGTCTTTTAGATATTGCTATGTTCTTGCTGTTGGATATTTTAAACTTTACTGATATGGAAAATTGGTAATTACAGAAAAATAATTTATTTTAATTGCTTTCTTATTAAATGGTAAATTTTGAACTTAACAATTTTATTTTGACCTGTTATTAAAATTCTGGTGGAGATTCATTAGATTTTGTTTCTTTCTTTCTCATTTTTTTTTATTTTTAAAGGCTAACAAATTCAAGGTGAATGTTACTAGATTAGAAATAATTATCACTGAAAATAAATAAGTGGCTTTGGCTGCAGGAAAAGAATTGGTTCTTCTGATTGGTTAAAGTTAGTCACGTGATCTCATAGTGTGTCATAGCAGATACTATATTTAATACTGCCAGGTAATGAAATTAAAGTTTCTCTTCTAGTTAGAAATGTGAGGTGAAAATAAAAACAGTGATACATGGCCATAGCAGGGACAATTTATTTTGGAGGGGGAAAAAAATTTTTGAATTATCCTTAAGTTATCAAAGGCTGCCACCATGGTTAGCAACAAGAACATTTAAAATTTTCAGTACTTCCTTGATTTGATAGTTTTTTTTTTTATTTCTTGTATTTCTTTCTTTATTGTATTTTGTTAAAATAAAACCCCGTAAAAACAAAAAAAAAAGTACAATTGGTAAAAATTGGGAGGGGGGGCAAGACACCCTCCACTGGCTGCCACAGCCCTGGATAGATAAAATATATTAGAATATGACATACAGGGTTATTAAAAAACAAAGTAGATTTCTAAACTTTAATAAAAACAAATACTAAGAGACAGAAACACATTCAATGCACTACTAGATAGGAAAAGGTTCAAAGTTATTAAAATAAATGCAATTTTTTTTCAATCTTGTTTAAATGCTTTTTTTTTTTTTTTTTTTTTTTTTTTTAGATTTTTGTATAAATTTAAATTGTTATAATTTGTGTCAACCCTTAAAATGGCTGTGTCACAAGAAAAGTCAACCTTAAAACCATAAACTTTAAAACGTTTACTATCCAGTAATGTGTTGAATGTGTTTCTTTCTCAGCATTTGTTTTTATTAAATTTTCAAAATCTGCTCTTTCTTTTTGAATCTGTATAATAGTCCTAATAGTCCTATTAGTATGACTTTAATAATCCATGTTTATTAACATTTCTTTTTATTTTCTTAAATTTCACTGTATTTCCATAAAATAATTACTAATGTATCTATATTATATATAAAATAGCTGATTGTGCTTGTTGAAATTTAAATAATCAACTCTTAAAAATATCCTTGTTAATTAGAAATGATATTTGAGAATTGACTTTTACAATGTGTTTTCTTTGGTGAATTAGAGTCAGGTGAAAAGGAATGCGAGATATTAGTACAGATGATGCAAGGACCACCTCAGGATCAATCTAAAGACCTGAAACATCTTACCTAGCCAATTAGAAAAGTTGACTAGCAATCAGGCTGATTGGTAATGTATCTGTATAGACACTGTTCAAACCCCCAGTAGCAAGGATGGACCAGCAAGCAGAGGAATGCCATTAAAGAATCTTTCTTCTGCTATCATCTAATTTAATCATCAAATCCTTTTTCTCTTCAACTAGAAATATTTTGCATAAAATGACTTAAGCTAAGCAGTAGTGGTGAAGTTATTGGACTGTGATAAGAAAAGACCTGCTTTACTCAGTTCAAATGCAGTCTGTATTAAAATCCAACTGTGATTAAAGTTTCCTTTCCCCCATCACTCCCAATTCCCAGAATTTAATGCTGCTTCTTCCACAGTATGCGATGGATGAATTGTTTAAATTACACAAAAATGACATCTCATTTTAACAGATATATGTACCAAAATTACACAAAAATATTTTGAAATACTAAAGAGTAAATTTATTCAATAATAATGCAAATGGCTTCAACCACAGCCTCCAGACAATTTCAGAATCTCCTGCATCTCTTCTGGATAGTCTCCTTGTTTAAGTTGGTGAATGCTGCCATAATCCTTGCCTTCAGTTCATCTTTGGTGTTACAAGGAGTTTTGTTGGTTTCTCGCTTAACCAATAATCAAGGAAGGTTGCAGTCTGGATAGTTAGGTGGCTATATGTAAGGGGTGATGTCACAGAAATTGTCTGACAGCCATGACTGGGTTTTCCTGCTTGTGTGGCATGGTGCAGAGTCCTTTTGACAGACATAGGGTCTTCCAGCAGGCAGCATTACCTACCTCATTGTAGGCCTCCATATTGAATCTGAGGCCCTGTGGGAAGGTGAATGGAAGCATAAGGTTACCATTACTGAGGATCACTCCACACACTTTTGCAATCACCATTAGACTCATCTGACACTTTCCAAATGCTCTGCACTGTCCTCAGATTGACACCCAAACACTCTGAAATGTTTGTTTTGGAGCTTCCAGTATGAATGCCAAGCAGTATAGCATGCTATTTCCAAATTTCTGGTGGAGTGAATTGTGTCATAATACTCTTTTTCTCACAGATGGTGCCCAACTGACCCTACTATATTATGCAATCAACAAAATCAAGCAACACATATGTGCAAAATTAAAAATATATATAGCAACAATTTACCCATTGCACTCTGTATGTGCTGCGTCCCATTAGGACATTGGTAATCATGGCTCTCCACAATTTCCTGGTCCCTGGTAGCTCTTAATAACTTTTGTCTTTTTGCCATTTCTCTTTTACCTTGTTCTGCCATCCATTCACTCAAACTCACAGGGTAACTTGTGCATTGTTTTCCTCTGTCTCTCTTGAGTATAAAATTTTTCAAGCCCTCCTTCCACATTATGCATCCCAGAAACCTCAACTGCCTCTTCCTGATGTTTAGTATGTGTCCTTTTTGTTGCCATTGTCTCTAGAACTTTGAGTTGCTCCCATGTTTGGTCCATGGTATTCTCAGCATCCTTCTGTAGAACCACATTTCTATTTCTTCAGATCTCTTCTTCATCTGTGAGGAGATTGTCTAGCATTGACTGCCATATCGGAGGACTGATACTACATAACATTTCAGTACTCTTTTCTTTGTTTC